GATGCCTTGGAAGCTCTGGTGACCCGCTGGACTGCGGAAAGTGGCGTCAGGTGGGTCGGGCAGATTCTGGGTCCAGAAATGGTACCCCCATAGCTGGTTGGTTAAATGGAAAATCCCATTAAAATGGATGATGACTGGAGGTATCCATAGGTATCCCCATTTCAGGAAACCCCCATATCTATTATGGTATTGCTGATATATCCATCAACTATCACCATCAACAGAACTTAGGGGAAAACACACATAGTCATCCCCCACACATCTCCCCAAAAGTATGGATCACCAGATTTCCGGGGGGAAAATTCGATGATGTTGTCCACATCATTTCCAGGTTTCCCAGGTATTTTCGAATGCCATGGCCCCATTTTTTCCAGGTCCTTGGAACGTCATCTGGCACAGTGCCTCGGCGTAGATGGAACTTTCCGGCGTGATGTTTAAGCACATAGCCATGGAAAATCCACCCATTTTTAGTAGGTAAACCAGCTATTCTAAAAGGGCCATCTATACCATGGCGAACTGTTAAATAACCAGAGGGTATATTCAAATTTGCTACCAAGGGATATGGAAGCCATGATGAAAACCCCAGAAATCTCATTGTGGATATGAATTTTCTGGTGAGCTCCCAAGTAGATTCCCACGGATAAAAAACCTGGGTGTCAGGCTCCCAAGGCACAACACGTGATGATCCAGGAACCTGAGGTCATTTCAACCAGAAATTACATGAAATTACCATTTTTATGGGCGATTCTTTTTGTGAACATACCCTCTGGTAATTTAACATAGCTATTGAAAATGGCCATTTATAGTGGATTTTCCCATAAAAAATAGTGATTTTTCCATAGCTATGTCAAAATAACCAGATGGTATCAAGAAAATCAAACTGTTTAGAAAGTGTAAAGTCTAGTCGTCCATATCCAAGCCACTAAGAGAAACTCCAAGGATCTGCCGCTGGGCCGCGCTGCGTTTGCAGGTTCAGATTCCGTTAAGAAACCGCAAGTGGGTAGTAACTACGAATGATGGTGATAGAACCGACGAATTATGGCGGATATTGCTGTGATTGGGTGAATGGGATGGTTTGCTACAACTGATGGACAATTTATTTGTGATTTACTATTTTTTTTGCCAGATGAAGCATCTTTTCTGTGGTGGCAGGCAGGAGTTGTTTGAGAATTCATTTTTGCATAACCACAATGAAACACAATGTCTACAGACTCACAGACTTCTAGACGCAGCTCAAGACAGGTGCTGGTTCAAACTCCGGGCACCAGCATTTGGAAGAATGCATGATATCCTGCATTTCTCTTGGAATCGTTCCTCTTGTCCCAGAACACAATTTCTTGCCTGCTGTTTCTGTTCCTCAATGTTTCATGTCTATGTGAATTCCCCTTCCTCTCTCTCGGTATATATTGTCTATGTACAGATTTCCAGAGGGAAAAGCCAATAAAAAACGATGACCATGAAATCCCTATTGAGATGATTAAGTCCCTATGAAATATCACTAAACCACCATTAAAACGCATCAATTCCCGCCAGGGGGTGGACGTTCCGACCGGCCTGGGTCGGGAAGCTGCACGAGAGGCGGTGAATAGTATCAATTTATGGTGATTGAAAGTGATTGAACATGATTTATGGATCTATTTATATATGATGATTTGTAGTGATTTACAAAGCACCATATAGTGATTTATAGTCATTTGTACAACAATATTTATAGATATTTATAGTGATATAAATAATGGATAGTAAAGGTTTATGATGGCGATATACTAGGGATGATACTATCCATTCATGGATTAATTCTAGTCAAACAACGCGTTTTTTTAGTGTTTGTCTGAAATCGCGACCGTATGAATGCATCAGGGTCCTTTGCTTGATCTATGGAATATTGGGAGGGTGATCATGATATGTGAATGATATGTGAATGGTTTTTTTGGTGGCTGTTGTTTTGAGGTGAATCCTCCAAAGAACATTCCCTGGTGATACCACAGATTCACCAGTAGTGGAAATAGGTGGGTAATAATTACCAGATTACCAGGTGCATTTTCGATTCCTGGGGTATCCTGTGATGTTCATCCAAATGTTTTTTTGGCGCCGACTGAAACTCACCACGTCAAGTCCTAAAGGTATATGGGGATGGGTCAAGATTGAAGCTGGGACCGTTTGGTTTATGTACGCACCATCTAATTCTTGGGGTACCCAATGTTGACCCATAACCCATAACTAATCATAACTATATCTTTGAACATATATTCTCTACTGGGAATTCGTCCTTGGTTTGGTGGGTCCAGCAATTCTTTGTAGTGGCACGTTGTTCTTTCTCTTGCAGATCCAGTCTAATCCGAGGCAAGCCATTAGTGAATATGAACCCTAACATTGGTACATATGAACTCAAAGCATCCTAAAACATCCGAAACATCCAAAAATATCCCAACAAAATGGGGATAACTGGATAACTAACATTAACTAACAACAACATTGGACAGTTGCCACGTTCACCCGCAGCGCCCGTGTAGCCAGGCAGCATTAGCCAGCAGTGGTCCTGATTCTGAAGGCCGCATCGAGGCGGGAATTTCTGGGGTTCGTTGCGGAAAAATACGGATCATCATGGTGATATATGGTGATTATATCCCAAATTACCCTCTGGTAATTGTAACATGGCAATGAAGAAGCCACCATTTATCATTTATGGATTCCTAGATGATTGTCCCATTGAAACCTCCATTTACAGAGGATTTCATAGGATTTCCCATTGCCACGTTAGATGGATCCTAGACGGTGACATCCAATCCCAGAGCCGAAGGGAGACTAAGAGTTGCCGGCAAAAAACAAGACCATGGCAAAACTTATTATTTCATGGGTAAACTGAGGATTTAACGCTAACAGGCTAATACTAAGTTTAACTTCACATTTGCTTAAATTATATGATATTATATGATATAAATTTCGACGTTGGAAGGTCTGGGCAAATCTACTATATGTATATATATATATATATCTGATCATATGTATATATATATATTTATACCTATACCTATAAATGGATAAATAGATGTTTATACCTATACCTATTTATATACCTATATATGTTTATATATATGTTTATATATATATATATGTAAATAAATAAATATCCCCCATCATTGGTGGCGCTTAGGTGACTGCGGAGCATCTGCCGCAGATCTTGGGAGTGGAGCTGTTTGAGCCGGTGGGGACTGCCCAGGTGGTGTTGTACCCTCCGGTAAACATACAAAACACCATGGAAAATGGGAAAACCATAGGAAAACCATAGGAAAACCATAGGAAAACCATAGGAAAATGGAGGTTTACCCTCTGGTAAACTAACATAACTATGGAAAATCACTATGGAAAATCCACAAGACCATCATGCCATGATTTCTTCAAGCCAGACCATGCAGTATTATCCAGTTGTGACATCTAGTAACCTGACCCAAAGAATCACCTGGCACCCCAAAAAAGATCCTGGCTGAAAAAACATCTTTTTCCGTACAGCAAGTTGCCATAATTGGGTGTTGCACCATTTCTTCCAGACTCGGAATGACTCTGAAGGTATTGATCATTTTCATATTGCTTCTCCATTTACCCCCATTGAAACTTTTGAAACACTGGGCCAGATGTGCCATGGTCATAACGTATTTCCCCATAAACTACAATGAACAAAACCGGGAGTGTCATCAATGTATTCATCCATCGGTGTTTTTTCATCTTGATGAATATGTTCATCATCCTACAGAGGTTAATATTCTCTACCTATCCCGCCCATGAGATGGTCATACTTGGAAGTGCGGTTCCAGTTTAGAAGTGGACAGATGTCACCCAAAAAATCACCCTAGTTAAACCACCATTTTCCATGGTTAAACCACCATTTTCCTGGAAGATCGGCTATTCGTTACTACCATGTTTTTAACCATCATCTCGAAGGGTTTTCGTTACCCATGGCCGCCTGTTGGACGCTCAGAATCTCGCTAAACGCCTTGATGTTGGACGGAGCCTAAGAGCTGGAGGGCTGTGTATATATTCAAGATATACCCTCTGGTTATTTAACATAGCCATGGAAAATGGCCCATTTATAGATGATGTTCCCATTAAAACCTCCATTTATAAGGGATTTTCCATGGCTATGTTAAATAACCAGAGGGTAAATATGTTAATTTATGCATAATTTATACTATACCCTCTGGTAAATTAACTTGTTGACCCTGACAATCGCCAATTTTAAATGGAAACTAATCTTCCAACCCCTATTTGGCAGGGTCTATGTTAATTTACTGGAGGGTATATGATAACACTAAAGTAATCGATATTATATTATTGTAATTCATTATCATATATGATATGATATATCATTTAGGAACCCCCCATTGATCGAAATTATCTAATTTTATATATCATAATATATAGTCTATGGGGGTTTCCTAAGTCATGGGGATACCCCAATAGCTGGTTTGTTTACATGGAAAATCCCAATCTAAAATGGACCTATGTCAGGAAACCTCCATATTGAGTTTATATATACACTTACACATGAACAAAATATATGATTATGTATATATATATAATATATATATATGTATATCTAATACAGATATGTGTATATCATGTGTACGATCTACATGTGCATGTTGCATGTACACATGTATTATATACATCATATTATTATGTACACTCAAGCACATCCAATTTTTGTGTTTTGTGTGGGCACGGGCTGCGGCCAAGCTAAATTTTCACTGCATGCACATGTAGACAGCATCTGAAGACATGGAATTCTGAAGATCTGTGGAACTAACCGCCATGTAAAGATATGTGGACATATATATATATATATTAATATATATATATATATCTATACAAATATATTAATATATATATATTATAGATGAACAGGAAAGATCATTCATGTAACACATCTGCAGCTTGCAGGGTCCCGCTGCAAATCGGCTCGAGTGCTCTTCCCCAGACCCTCGCGGGTGCCCGGTCGCGTCATGGGCTACCGCGTTGGTGGGCCATGGGGGTCGGTCACTCCACCGGTGAAGAAGGAAATAGAAGTTGACAATCCAGCCAAGGATGAGCGCTTCTTGGCGAATCTGGATTGATTTGAAGAGATTTGGGTTTTTCTAGACATGATGCGCCCCATCTGGTTAGTCACGGTTAGTCAAAGGTATTACCCCCAGCAAATTGCCATCATGGGTTGAAATTACCCATTTTCAGACAGACCCATTGGGGAGTTGACAAGTTCAGGTGCAAAAAAGATGGGCAGGAAAAACCCTGGGGATTCCTGTGGATGTTCAATGGGTGGATGGCATTGGGAGATGACCAATAGATTCCCATGGATGTAGATTAAGACGGGTCGAAGTAAAGAAGATATGCTGTGATATATATATATACTGTATATGTATTGTATATATATATATACACAGTATAGATATATATATATATATACATTGCTTGGGTACGGCGTGTTTTGGAACATTTGCCATTGGCGAGTAAAAGCGACCCTAGCCTGTAAAAAGTGCCGACACTGGGTACACTGGGTACAATCAATCTTGGGGATATGAGGCTGAGCGCAACAGATGGTTTGGACCCCAACGAAGCAAGCACCAAAGTTGGGATGGGATAGCCACTGGCCACATGGGTTTTTCTGACCTGGCAAACATGGCAGATTATTAAGATTGAAACGCGCATCATCATTATTGGTACACACCTGACCTAATAACCTTAAATTGTTTGGCCCAGCATGGCGCATCTACAATGGCTGCAATCAGGAACATGTTCATGTCATCCGCATGGATGGGGGTCCTGTTCAGGGAGTGTTTGGGTACAGCCATGTCAGACTGCCGTGGTGGACCTTCGGAGACAAGTTCTCCTGTCAAATCCTTGTTTCATAACCTTATTAAAATCCATTTTTAACATATACAATTAGTTGTAATTCCAGTATCCTCTTTCAAGACATGACCTTGATGTTTGGACCTGCTGATTCGAGCAATCCTTGGTCGGCTGAGGTTTTATGACAACCTACAGCAAGAATTTTGGTTTGGCAAAGCCCCGAGCCCAACTCTATGTAAATGCGCCTTCTTCTATCCGGGCAGAGCCAAATGCTACTCTGACATTGCGGCAAGCGGCTTCATTGAGATGTCCGCCCCCACCAGTGAATACGCTCAACACGCTCAACACATTGACGAAGTCAATGTCAATGTCTGGCATTCGCGGCAGCCTTCAGATAGCGGGCAAAACCTTGACTGCAAGCCTGAGAACTGAAGCTGCGCCATCACCCAGTGATCGAAGGCATTCCTTGCAGTTGAAGACCTTTCAGTCAAGAAACTCTGCAGCAAAATTACGGTGCCGTTTTCCAGGCACTTCTATTTCTGTCCTTTGAGGGGCGAATTCAGCCATAAAACAACGATCCACTCATAGGGAAATCATCCCCTCCAATGGGCCTGCAGATGAATTCATTACAGTATGTTTCCTGGATTTTTATCTTAAACCATATTAAACCATATTAAATACCTAGAATTACTGAACTGGGTATGGGGCATTTCACCCTGGTACAGGTCGTAACTTCTGTGAACACCAAAATAGGTGGGATCTGTGGATGTTCATCCGCCAGAATCTGTTCGGGCACGATCTGTAGGATGTTTGCAGCAAACGCAGGCCACTTTTTTTTCGGCCTGCAAGTACATAAATTAAACCACTGTTGATTGGTTATTATACGAGGCTCAATCACCTTTAGTACCTGCATATCCCAATAGCTAATTGTCCCATTCATGATCGGATTTCAACAGTTCTGAAGGGTTCAAGCACCATCCCAGTATTTCTTTGATTCTCATAGACGTCTAAATTAGTTAGATAAATACTGACAAATGAGTTTCAAGTATTTCGGTTGGTGAGTTAATTTACTTATACTATATACATCTCACTATTGTATGTTATGTATGTATGTGTATATATATATATATTCATAGTATGTATATATTTATCATGATAATTATGTACTATAGTTATTATAATTCACTATACTATATTTATATATATATATCATAATGTATGAATTAGATAAATTCATCAATTGCTTCCCGGCCTTCGCAGCACCAGACTCCTGGCCAAGGAGATATGCGGCGAAAGTGCTTGGAACTTCTGAGCGAACCCGATTTGAAAAAGATCGCGGTGGACATCTTTAAGAAAAGTTACCTGGATGTTAATCAAACTTGACGATGGCATGAGTTTCAATGATTTTGATATATTTTGATATATGTTCTATAGATGTGCACATATATATATATATATACACGATATATGCGTGCCATGGTCAAGCTAGTTGGATTAGATGAAGCCACATATGGGGGTGGCTCTTCAATCCATTTTCACAGAAAGCAAAACACTTTGACATGGGGATGTCTGAAAACGCTGGCGACCGATGAGTTTGGGCATCCACCACTTGTGGACTTGTCCTTAAAAGTATCCCAAAACCTTACGACTATCTATCAATCAAATCTTGTCTAATCATGTCTAATCTAATTTCAAAGCAAGACTCATGCAATCTAATCCAATCTAATCCAGTCTATCTACCCTCTGGTAATTTAACATAGCTATTTGAAAACGGCCATTTATAGTGGATTTTCCCATTAAAAATGGTGATTTTCAATAGCTATGTTAGTTTACCAGAGGGTAATCCAATCTATATGGCCGTTTTTGTTGACGGCTTGCCAGCCCAACATGGATCGCATGAGGTGATGTGGATTCAAGCGGACAGTTGGACTTCGACGAAGTGCACAAACTTCTTGAACAGTTGCATAATGATATGGATGCTTGCCCTACAGGATGGTGCCCCCCAGTTATAAGTGGGTTTATAAACCCCATTAACTATAGTTAAAACTGCCATAAACCATAGTTATGGGACTTATAAACCAACTTAGCTAACTATGGGGCACCACCTTGTACCCTCCTGTAATCAAATGTGTCTGGTCACCTGGTCCCTGAAGATTTTTGGAGGTTTATAGCAGGAAATAATCTATAAATGCTGGATTTTCCATGGAAATGCGGTTCTGGCACAAGAATGTACCCACCCTTGACTCAAACTTGGAAACTTGGAAACTGGTCGCGGTTGACCAACTTAAAGTACAGAAGTGCCACAAGCAATATTGCTGTTGTTTTGAAATCTTTTGCGTCAAGAACGTCAGACCTGTCAAGAGGCTGTTCTACCACTACATTTGGTGGTAATATTAGTTTGATACATTTAATCAATATATAGTTGCAGACTTGGATTTTTGATGCGCATGCTACCAAAACACTATAGTGGCCCCTGGAGATCAAAGATTTCCACAGCGACGACTCGCCAGGATTTACCACAACCAAATCGAGACATGGTGGAATCGTTGATGAAGCGCTTTGACACCAGCGGAAAGAAAACTCTGGATGAAAAAGATTTCTTTGAGTGCCCTGTCCTGCATTCTTTTGGCATCCAATCCCAGAGTGTTGTGCTGTTGATTGGAACCAGAACGTGCTCGATGCTTCCCCAAATGATCAAATTAGGCCATATTAGCCATATGTCCATCTGCATCAGACACCCCATACACAGATAATATACAGAAATTCGATCTTCTGTAGATGTGTATATATATATGCATATATTGACATTCAAACACTTACCATCCAAACTTTAGCCCAGTTGTAGGCAGGTATCTCATCTGTTCCAGTGGATACATATTATCAATATAAATATATATTATATATAAGTATATATTATATATAAGTATATATTATATATAAGTATATATTATATATAAATATATATTATATATAAGTATATATTATATATAAGTATATAATATATAAAAGTATATATTATATATAAGCATATATTATATATAAGTATATATTATATATAAGTATATATTATATATACGTATATATTATATATAAATATATATTTTATATAAGTATATATTATATATAAGTATATAATATTATAAGTATATATTATATATAGGTATATATATTATATATAAGTATATATTATATAAGTATATATATTATATATAAGTATATATTATATAAGTATATATAATATAAAGTATATATGATATATATAACTATAATATATAATATTATATAACTATATATTACATATATAACTATAATATATATATAACGATATGTTATATATAAAACTATATTTTTTTATATTTATATAACTATATATCATATATAACTATATGTATATAATTATATATACATATATATTATATATAGCTATATATTATATATAACTATGTATTATATATATAACTATATTATATTTTATATAATTATACAAAACTATATATTGTATTATATATAATTATATATAATTATATATAATTATATATAAATATATATATATATATAATTTTATAAGACTCTATATTATATATTATTATTTATAACTATATCTTATATATAACTCTATATCATATAATTATATAAAACTATATATTAGGTATAGCTATATTATAAATATATATATATATATATAACTATATATATAACCATATATATATAACTATATATATAACTCTATATATATATATATAGAACTATATATATATATATATATAACTATATGTATAATTGTATATATATATATATACATATCTTATATAACTATATATATTATATATAACTAAACATTATATATTATTATATATATAACTATATATATATTATGATATTACATATTATAAAACTCTTTATGTTATATATATATATAAATGTATATTATATAAATAACCATGTATTATATATTATATATTATTTACAACTATATAATATATATATAATATATACCATAGCCATGCACCCATCGGTTTTTAGCTAGCCAGGTTATTGGTGTCACAGTTGCGTCGCAGTGCTTTTGACCGCGGATCGGTTCTGGGACGCGAATTCTTCCTGACCAAAGGCAACCGGGGCAAGTGGTGGGAAGGACAAGGATGTGACCATGCTATGTGACTGCGGTGTCATTATCTATAATATGCGATACTATATATATATATATATTATGTATATTGTTAGAGATTATAATACGAGTGAGAACAGTTAACATTAAGTATAACCATGGAAATTATAGTGTACATTAACATATATACCATTGAATTATATTGTTTTGCCATATAACATCATGTTACAAACTTTGGCTCCTCAAACCTCGGTTGAGGCTGATTCCAGCAGTCCACTTGGGGGTGTGTTGGCAACTTTTTGTGACTGGGTCAGAAGCATATTTTTACACCAGTTACTCTGGTAAACTAACATAGCTATGGAACATCACCATCTTTAATAGGTAAATCAACTATAAAGGTGCCATTTTCAATAGCTGTGTTAAATTACCAGAGGGTACATACAATATCCACATGTAACTGGTGTATAAACAGCCCATTATAGAAAAATGATAACCACAAGGGATGGAAATGGGTCATTCTATCTCTTTATCTCCCTATTTTTCCCCCTTGTATCTGTGTTGGGAGCAACCCTGATAAATGTTATACATGTTATAAATGTCATAAAATGTTATAAACATACATGTTACGTAATAACCATTTATCCCCAGTTATTTGAACGGCTTTTCTCACGCACAACTCAGCTCTGTAGCAACCCATAAAGATCCAAGAGGAACAAACAATTGATTCCACCATGTTCAGGCCATAAAGGAACCATGGTGGTTCCAAAACCACAGGAAAACCGTGTCAAAATTCGGGGTGCAACGAGCTTTCATCCAGCTTTCGAGCCAGTTTCGGAGCCTTTCAGGCCAGCAAGATGTTTGGGATGTGTATCGGAGAGAGAAACAACTGGGCACCGGTTCCTTTGGCACTGCTTATCAAGCGGTGAACATCAAAACTCACGAGGAGCGGGTGATTAAAGCGGTAGCACGGCGGCAACGAGTCGCGGGCCAGTGATATGTGGGGCTGACACACAAGCATAAATCACGCCTGGGTTTTTCATATGTTACATTGTTACATTATCTGTTTGAAACATACTCAAATAGACCTTGAAAACACTTTAGCTGATTTTGATATATTCTTTTGTGGTCAAATTTGGTTTACAACAAAGTATGGTTTGTTTATATGATGTGCCTTGGGTCGTTCATGCCTTCCTCATGGCAAATCTGCCGACGACCTCGACCTAGGTCAAGAAGAGCCGTACGGCATTGCCACTGGATGAGATTGAACAAGAGATCTTGATCATGAGGCTGTCACATGTCATGTCATTCTTGGTGATTTCCACATCATTTCCAAGATGTAAATTTTAAATGACATTTTTTTTCCTGCACATGGAGGAACAATTTCTAGATACAGTATATATAGTTGATCATGAGGCTCGGAAGAGATGTCATGGGTGCATCAAGGTTCCAAAATTGAAATTGAAGGGCAACCCAGAGGGTACGAGGGACGCACGGCAGTGGTCCTTTTTTGGCTCTGAAATCGTTCAAATTGGATGGTCAGTAATTTTGAATCAATACCATTTGGGTCTCAACATACCGCAGATATATGGCACAGCCAGAATCTTGACCCACACTCTTCAGTCACCAGAGCTCCTAGGGTTGAGCTTTGGCCCTTGAGATAAGCTGAGGTATCTGCAAAAGAGATGGATAAGAAGACATATGGTAATGGTGGTTGGAAATATCCTCGATGATTTGGGTTTCTTCCATTTTGAGAATGAGTGATTTGAATTCCATTTCGTATATTTTTTTCGGTGGCTCAACCAGGAACTAGATACCTTCAAGATATTTCTTGGGGGTCAAAACTGGTTTCTTTTCACACAAACATATTTTTCATGGGCAGGTTGGATATCCGAAGGTACCAACTCGCCACTCTAAATCCCCTCGCCGAAACGAGATCCTTGGGAGGCAAATTGATCACCCACACATGGTGCGGCTTTTTGCGTGGTATGAAGACGGAAATCGTCCCTCAGCGGTAATGCAAAGGCAGTGCGTTCTGACAGTTGGGGCTTTGGAATCGCAGAATTGCGTCCTCATTTTTTGAAAACAGACATGCCGGATATGTAAAGAGTAGTTTTGAGGTTCCTGATGAAAGAGGATCTCAAGATGCTATGTTCAAGATTTTATGGTCCTAGAACAAAATGACCTTCGGAAGGTTGCGGTCGCAACATGGGTACAGGTCAAGATTCAAAGGCCTGAGAACCATAGATTCTGGTCGTGGTTCCTACTTGCCAGGAGCCATCCACAAACTCAGAGGTCATTTGTACAGCTTGACCTGGTTTGTGCTCAATTACATGTGCCTATTTTAACCAGTTATCCCAATTCATATTCCAATGAAACCTGGGTTGCAACTCTAGTGGACTGAAGAATTGTTGTCTTGATGTGACACCATACCCACGTCTTGGAGGGTTTTTTTGCTTCATAAACAGTTTCCACCACCTTTTCAGCTAAAGCTCCAAAGTTCAGACCCTAAGGTGTCTACTTGGTCCTTGATTATTTGAAAGGCGGGTCCTTGAAGGACGTCATCGTGCAGCTGAACAAGAAGGATGAGCGAGGTCTGAAAGAGGCGTGGATCAGGGAGGTCATCCAACAAACTGCCGGTGGCTTAGCATATTGCCACAATCTTCGGCTCATTCACAAAGATTTGAAGCTCGGCCCGACAGCTCGGCCAGGTTAAAAGGCCAGTGATGTGCGATGCTGGTTAAAAGGCCACGGTTAGTATAGAAGTATATAGAAGTGAAAAGGCCATATTTTCCGTGAGTGTTTTTATGCCTTCTCGAATGATGTCAACATCCGAATCCTGCTTTCCGAACCACCAGTGGACAAAGTCTGTGTTTAATTTGCTTGGCTTCGGCTGCAAGTACTTCCCAGGAAAGATGAGAACATTATGCTTTTGGAGAAGCCTGTGCCTCGCTTGCAGATACCTCGATGCCAAAAAAGGGGAGGAAATCCGGTGGAAAGTCCCATGAAGAATGGCAGCCATGGCAGGTGTCAAGTGCTGCACATGTTTGATGTGAACTGCTTGGGGTGGCAGCCCTTCAATATCTCCTGGATCGCCTCAATCCAGCAGTGCCATCCTGGTTGAACCTCAAAAAAAAAACTCCACTTTTGGATCGGGAAGATAAACCACAAGCAGAAAAATAGGAGCCAAGCACCCACCAATTCTAGGGACTTTCCTGGATCATTGCGATTCGAATCCATGATTCGCTTGTTGTGGCGATACGGGGTGGAAGCCTTTCGGATTCGATTAGAGATGCACTCATAATCACTAATATCTCAAAGGGGAGTGTCTAAGACTGTCTAAGCTTACATATCCATTATTTACTCCTTCCCTTCAATTGGTCATTATATAGATGTTATTTATGGATGAGAATGATGAGATAGAATGATGATATGACCAGTTTCTAGCAGGGCATACATACCATTGGTGTCCTTTTCCCACTTGTCGGTTGATTCTGAAAAAGAGGTAACGCCCCCCATTCCTAAATGATGGTCAATTCTTGTCTACTTGTTACCACCGGTTTTTTAAAATTCACTACATCCTGCAAAGCCTGAATTTGACATAGAACCCCAAAAATAGAGGTTGGACGATGATTGTCCTATTGAATTTGGCCATCAATATGAGTTCGATGAAACATCTATGGGGTGTAATCTCACGGATCACACAGTCAGCCACTTCTGAATCAATTAATGATGAGGGGGTGATCTCCCCGAATCGTGATCATCTGCAATCAAAAGAAATTACATATAGTTATATTCCCCCAATGATCAACAACAGAGGGTCAACTGTCATGGCTTGGAAATTCTACACAACAAGCTGTCTGATTTTGCTAGGATATCCCATTGTATTATGTTCCCATTATATGCCCATTATATCACTACTATCTCCGCATGATTTGTTGGTAAAGTAGCCCATGGTTATAAGTTACATCATAGAAAATCCCATTACCAAAACAAAGTTGGTCGGGACACTATGCTTATATTCCAATTATATTCCTACTATATATATACATGTATCCAGGGCTTTTATGCATACGTTATAACCATAGCAATTCATAGCCCCATGTTTTTTTTTCGAAAAGGACAAGTGGGAGAAGCCTCATGCAGTGATCATCGACCTGGGTGTTGCAGAGATGTTCAGCGTAGCAGATCCTGCGGGGCGCTTTATTGGTGGCACCCCCACCACCATGGCGCCTGAGGCGGGGGGAAACCCATACCGTTTTTCACCGACTTGAAGGGGAAAAACTAGCACAAGTGGGAAATTCATCACAACAAAATGGTTTGGAAGTTGGTTTTCTTGGAATTAGGGCAATCGTGGGTGTAAGCTCACTCATGGACCGAAACAGGCATGGTCAATTTTGCAAAGCTCTGATTTATATAGCAGGGATTTGTTGCTGGTCTTTCATATAATATGTCAGCGGAACTTGGGCGGTTGTTATATGAAAACCTCCAAAAGAAACAACAGCTATGTAACAGTTGGATTCTTGATGTGCCTTGTGTACAGCTGAACCCTGAGGTGTGGTTAGGCAACTTCGGACCCAAGTGCGACGTGTGGTCTTTGGGATGTATCATGCGACTCGCTGATTTCAAGCTTTGGAGATGGCAGGGAGTTTGGCATCTTTTCTTTCCCAAGAACTTGGTAAAGAACTGGTGATTTCTTGCTATGTTCTATGCGGACATCACTGAGATATCAGTCCATTTTCCTTTCCCAGTCACCCAGTCCATCTCAAAAAAAACATGGGACAAAGTGACAAAGTGACCATAGAAACCCAGTCCATCTCTTATTTTTCATGAGGCAAATCAATTTGTGACCATAGTTCGAAATGGGAGACAAATGGCCAATCCTGCCCATGTCGACATGGGATTCTCATCATCTCATCTCCCAGGTTCGAGCTATGCACCGGCGCTTTGCCATTTATGGCCACCACGGTGCAGCCATCTGCATGGACCCGATTGCACAAGCGCGGCCCAAAGTGGGAGGAGATGAAGACTTGCGCAGAAAGCAAAACATTGTGCCACTTGGAAAATTTAATTTGATTGGATCAAAAAAATGTGAAAAAACACGTTGGAAACACATCAGATAAAAAGGAGCATTAAAAAAGAGCACCAACTGTAGTAAAATTGGCTAATGATGGGAATGCCATCGTAAATCTGAAGGTTGGTTTCAAATACTTTCAGTGTTCTATTTCTTGAAAATGGATGATGAAAAGCCAATGACTTTCAGAGCTATAGATCACTATACAAAGACAATCTTATACAATCTTATTATAATATGACAATACTTGTACGTATAACCAGCCGAGTGTTGTAGCCGCATCTGGGGATCAACTGAAACCACCAGCCACGACAGTGTGACAGGCAGAGCGATGCTTCAGTATAAAGAAGCAGATCGTCCTTCAATGATGGAAGTTCTGGACTTCGAATACTTCCAGACAGCAGCTCATGAGCCCCCCGGATGGACGTTGACGTAACTGATTTGATCGAATTCCTTAACCCAGAAAAGTGAAAAATCGGATTTGGATGGTTTTGGGGAGTTTCATCTTGACCTTGCTGCTCATCTTTCTCTATTCTAGACATCACCAGTTGATAAAATCATCTTCATTGGAAATCTACAGTGACCATTTCCCTGCAGTATTTCGGATTTGTTGGAGCCTTTCCGAAACCCTTCACCAAAATTCCGATCCACCCGATCCGCCGAGCTCAGCGGCGCTCCGAGGCTTAAGGTGGTGCCACCCGAGAGGTTCACGAATTTCCTCAACGCGCACAAGCTGCACCGCGCGCGGCAGGGGCTCCTCCTGGAGATCGCCTCCAGGATGCCCTTCGAGCGCGCGGGGGAGATCATTCGGATGTTCTCGGAGGTGCCATTGTTGGTTTGGCAGCCTATCTGAGGGTTAGGATTTATGAAGGGTTAAGCATATCGCAACCACGTTTTTTGGGGCGATTTTTAACCATCCAATCATTGGGTCACCTGATTAAAAATGGTAAAAGGATGCAAAAGGTGTACCAAACCGACTCCAAAGAGTTTTCTCAGCATCATTGGACCTCATTTGTGCCTTTCCCATTTCATCGCAAAAATCTGGGAAGAACGGAAGCCCATTCGCCCATTTCACGCAGCCAGGTGGATGCAGATCATACCGGGACCATTACGTTGGATGAGCTGAAAGCATACTTCGACAGGGTGGGAATTCAGCATGACGACCTTGCGAAGACCTTTCAGGCTTTAGATGTGGACAAGGACGGGGACTTTCTGGGATGCTGCATCATTCCGGGTTGAAAGTGGCTAGGACTAGGAGCTGTTATGTTTATATCCTAGGTTACAATATCACACAATGGAATCACACAATATCACACTGTAGAATGTACATGAATATACTATGTAAAGTATATACCGGACATAGTAGTGGGTTATAATGCAGTTGCTAAGCATCCTCTTTTTTGGATTGTCACAGTACCAGTCAGAAGCTGTCAGGAAGCCGCCCAAGTTGCGATGCATTTGGCTAAAAGTAGAAGGAGGGCCATTTTGTTTTTTTTTATTTTTTTGCGGCAGGTTTTGGAATTATTTTTGGGTTCCTGGTTCTATGCTTTCCTGCTTCTCTGCTTTTCTGCTTCTCTGCTTGTCTGCTTCTCTGCTTGTCTGCTTCTCTGCTTTACCTGCTTCTTTTCTTTTCTGCTTCTTTGCTTTCCCTGCTTCTCTGCTTTTCTGCTTTTGTGCTTCTGTGCCTTTCTACTTCTACTATTCTACTTTTTCTTTTCTTCAGTCATGTGTTTTTGCTGCTCTACTTCCTGCTCCTTTGCTTCTCTGCTTCCTGTCTTTACAGCCTTTTTGTTTTTTCTTTTCTTTTGCTTTATTCTCTCCTGTTTGTAAACACCCTAGGTGAAACCCAAAGAAACCTTAAAGAAATCCTGATAAGAACTCCTGATAAGAAACCCTACATGAAACCCTAAATGAAACCTCAAGAAACCATTACTTAACCCTAAAGAAACCCTAAACGAAACTCTAAAGAAACCCTAAATGAAACCCGACATGAAACCCTAAATGAAACCCTAAAGAAACCCTAAATGAAACCCAAAAGAAACCCTAAATGAAACTCAAAAGAAACCCTAGATGAAACCTGAAATGAATCCCTAAATGAAACCCTGAAGAAACCTTAAAGAAACCCTAAATGAAACCCTAAATGAAAACCTAAAGAAGCCCTAAAGAAAACCACATGAACATGTTAATATCCTGATAAGAAACCTGATAAGAAACCCTACATGAAACCCAAGAGAAACCCTAAATGAAACCCTAAAGAAACCTTAAATGAAACCTGAAATGAATCCCTAAATGAAACCCTAAATGAAACCCTGAAGAAACCTTAAAGAAACCCTAAACGAAACTCTAAAGAAACCCTAAACGAAACTCTAAAGAAACCCTGCACCTAAAGAAACCCTAAATGAAACCCTAAATGAGACCCTAAAGAAACCCTAAACGAAACCCTAAACGAAACCCTACATGAAACCCTAAATGAAACCCTAAAGAAACCTTAAATGAAACCCTAGATGAAACCTAAATGAAACCCTAAAGAAACCCTAAATGAAACCCTAAAGAAACCCTACTGTAAATGAAACCCTAAATGAAACCCTAAAGAAGCCCTAAAGAAACCCTACATGAAACCCTAAATGAAACTCAAAAGGAACCCTGAACCTAAAGAAACCCTAAAGAAACCCTAAAGAAACCCTAAATGAAACCCTAAAGAAACCCTAAACGAAACTCTAAAGAACCCCTAGAGAAACCTTAAATGAAACTCTATATGAAACCCTAAATGAAACCCTAAAGAAGCCCCCTAAATGAAACCCCAAATGAAACCCTAAAGAAACTCTCAAGAAACAAACATGAACGTTTGAAGTACCAAATGTAGCAAATCCATGCAAATGAGAGGTTGAAGTGCCAAAACGTGGCAAATACCATGCAAAATGGAAGGCAAACATGGCCAAATGTAGCACATATCATGCAAAATGCAAAGTGACCATGCCAAAATGTAGCAAATACCATGCAAAATGACAGATTCTAGTTCCAAACTGTTGCAAATACAAGGCAGATGGTACCAGGAAAGAAGGCCAACAAAAATTCCTAAACCATCCCCCTGCACCATCCTGCACCCTTTTTGCATTAGAATTTCATCAGATTCAGATGGCCACAGCCAGCATTCAGCTGAAATGACTGGGAAAATGGCGGCATCCCAAAATGAGGCAGAGTCTCTCCAACACAATAGCTCATGATAGTTCATGTTAATTATGCTCTTTTTGTTGGCTAAAGTTGATTGTTGGGGTCTGCCCCAAAAGCGCAGGATGGCTTCTTGTCCTTCAGCGAGTTCTCCAGTGGTGCCCTTCTACTCTACCAAGATGCGTTGGAAGACGAACTGCATGTGCTCTTCTCCAGTAACTGGGAGATGGTGGCGAACAAACATGGCCTGCTGGAAAATCCACCATTCATAAAATGATGTTTTCCCAGCTATAAACCTCTTATGAAAAAGGGGATTTCCTGTTGCCACGTTTGATTGGGGGAGGATATATATATATATATATATGATTAGTATAACCCATAAAAAAGGGAAATAAATGGCACTCATGAATGGTTTCAATATGAAGAATCTGTGTGAGAATTTCTAAGCCCAACCCCAGTGTCAGGAGGTTCCCCTTCTGCAGAGGGTAGGTTCCCTAAAAGCCCCGAGCTTCTTTTGGACCACAAAAAGCATGGTTGACCCAACTGTTGCTAGTTTCAAATTTTCAATCACTCAGAAAAACCATGTTGGTGTCAGATTTTAAACCCCATGAACCCAGAAAATTCTGGCATAATTCTGGAAGTTCATCCTGGAATAGTAGGGCGCATAACCATCAGGATTGCACAAGCTTTGGGCCCTGTTACCACTCACTGAAAGGAATTCTCAAATATGATAAGAATGGAGGTACGCTGGTGCTTGTGGTATACATTATGTAATTATATACACTTACATGTTTGTAACCCAAGGTACATAGTTGGTTAAACTAGCATTGTAGCCGGACCCTTTAGCTTGCATGTTCGGTCCATCACTTCCCTCTACTTGAATATGTATCCCAGCGTGTCTGTAACTGTAGCTCTCTCTACCTCTATGTATTCATCTTCCAGGCAGCTATAAACTGTGGATATACCCACCTAAGCCTAAGTCAATGAAATCACATGTAAATCTACGGTATGTACCTTGAATCTTTCATTATTTTATGGGTCAAGAACCTCCAACAAGGCACTTGGTCTCGTTGTCGAGGTTATGACTCCGATGGCAAGGGCTACTTGACCCCCGCCGAAGCTGAGAAGTTCCTGGACAGCGTGCGGGCAGCCACCGACCTTGGCGGAAGGTGGGCGCGACTGAGGCAATAGGATCCACCCAAAAGTTGACCATCTTTATGGTTGGAAACATGAATATCTATATCTTAAGATCTAGATCTCCATTGCATGGATGGTCAGACATTTTATCGGTATGATTCGCCGGTATGACAGGATGATTCTTGACTTTTGTTGGGGATTCCAATTTCATGCTCAGTTCGGCCAGGGCCTCCTCCCAGATTGACGCCTTCGTCAGAAGTGGTCAGATCACCTTCCAACAACTCAGGGATTTCTTGGTGGCTCCGGTCTCCAGCCGTCCGTCCTCCTGCCTCTCACAATCGTCGCTACGGTCAAACCGTTCCAACCGCTCCAACCGCTGAGACGTGTCAGAAAAGTCACCCTGAAACTGGGTCACGAAAAGCTCTGTTGGAATTTCATTGGAATTTCATCATGCATGAATTCCACATTGGGATGAACCAAGTAACTTAAGCAAAAGATCATAGCGATTGAATGCGAGATCATGTGGCTATACTGAAAGTCTTGTGATAAAAACCAAGATTTTCACATTGCTTTCGCCATTTATGAACAGCCCTATCAAAAACTCTCGCCACGATCAGTTCGTGGGGGACCGGGCACGAATCCGGAGCATGGATCGATTCGATTTCTTCCCTCCGGGGTTCATCCCAGCATTGCTCCAATAATGGGGACTGCATTGACAAACGTCATGCAGAGGACGACGCAGATCAGATAGAAAACAGAACAGGGTTTGTCCTCACTCAGGAGTTATTGTTACACGTCGAGCAATGGCTTCTGACCCAGTATGCGTCTTGGGGATGCTTCAGGCAATGTTTACGGCCTCAGGATGACGATTATGATTAAGTGGTGTTGAGGTCTTGGAGTTTCCAAACTGTGAAAGAAATGCATCAAAATCCCATTGGCATTAGTGATAAACTTGATTAATACATTATCATGGGGTCCCTTTTTTCCAGGATGGAGCAACAGTCGGACGTTGCCAGAAAAATGTGTCAGTCGTTGATCACAAAAGGGAGAATCTGCACTTCTTTTGTATGACACGCTAAACATCAGAATGGTTTTGGAATGTCTAAGGTTATGGTTATGCGTTATGCGCCATATTCTCGGTTATTGTCAACCCCTGCTTTGTTTAATTTCAGGATTCCATTTTGGTTTTAAACCCTTTCCAAGGTAGCTCCCCTTGTCAAAATAACCGGGCTTTTAGACCAAGCAACCGGGGTGTTGCAATTACAACTCCCGTTGAGGTCTGACCAAAACCACTGTTGGCTGATGATTATCTAGGGGTATACCAGCTGGTCTAGTGAATATCCGGCCAATTCATTCTGACACTGTCTACTTCTTGATATGGGCCGGGGTCGTTCAAAAAGATATCCTTTATATTCCTTTATATGATATGGTTAGTGTACAGGTTACTTAAGGTTATACAGGCTTATCTATGCTTATCTAAGGTCATGCATGATTGATCATGGATAGTTATACTAAATACATCCCATGAGTTAGGATCCCGTCCAATCCCATCCCCCGAATAATAAACTTTTCCCGGAAACTATTAATCATATTGTTGGTGACTCAAATCCAATGATATCCCCATTGAATCCCATAAACATCTCATTAAATCGCAGTCAAATGCCATTAACATACCATGAAATCCCCATTTTTGTGGATTGAATCACAATTTTTCCCATTCAAATCCCCATGATCTTTGGATGACAAAGCCCTGGTTCCCGGCCTAAGTTTTGCCAGCCTCAGGCGTCTCCATGGGCCTCAGCGTTTCCTCCGTTGGGGGTCAACTTCTCTTTATCGAGGCCACAAAGACCGTGCGGCGTCACAGCCACTCCTGTTGGTTGATGATTAGTTTGGAATATATATATATATATATACATATATATATATAGACAGTAGTTATATATATATACATACATAATATATACATATACCTGAATCTTCCACCTACGTCTTTTTTCAGACCCTGTGCCAAAGTCCTGTTTTTTCAGTACCCAGAAAACTTTTCAGGACCTACTCTCAAATTCAGGACCTGGCCATTTTGGGGTATCAATGGTAATGGCAATCATTGGGTGCAAACATGTGAAACCAACATTTGGTGGATATATATATATATAAACATAATATAAACATACATATTATATATATAAACATAATATATATATATATAAACATACTATATATATATATACACATATACATGGGATTTACAGTAACTATCAAGCATATTTGGGGATATAGTCTGATATATATATATATATATAGTTGATAAGTGCTGGTTGGTTGATGATTAGTTCGTCTCATGAACCAATCCAGTGGTGAATGGACGAAGCGCTGAACAGAGCCAGTTGGCGCTACGAATTGGCTTTCCCAACCACATGATAGTCAAGCCATTTATTAAGATCAATACTGCTTGGTGGGTTGAAGAACTATATTTTCCAATGATCAATTATTACCCTCTGGTAAACTAACATAACTATGGAAAATCACCTTTTTTTAATGGTAAATCAGCTTTAAATGGCCATAGGGTACATCATGGTTGTCAGGGGTTGCAACAGCTGGCATAATTTTGAGCAATTCCTCCGGCAACGGGAACTTCACCAAGCATGGGGATATGTAACAGAAATGATGAATTCATCTGCACGGGGGGACGGTTTCGATTTCACAGTCAAACATGGGAATTGCATGATTTTACCGTTTTCAACAAACGTGGGGATTGTCAACCACCAACATAGAACTGGACAAACTTGGATAAATAAACCACTCCGTGAAGCTTAAAATAAGTTCTTTGTTGACATGAAAAATATAGAATCTGGCTCAGAAGTTGCGGGATCGAGGGTATCGAAGTTTAGTCATGTTTGAGAATGGGTCAACATGTGGGCCATGTGAGCTACAGATGGGTCGGATACCCAATGATCTGACCCGTTCACAATTTTCCATTGCGTGGGCGTTGTCCATTCTGGACAAAAATCCCGCTGTCAACAACGAGAAGCCATCTAAAAATGTGTAGTTTTAAACATACAGAATATAATTTTCATGATTTTTCCATGATTTTCATGATTTTTCCATGTAATTTTCATGATTTTTCCATGTTTCCCCTTTAACTAGGATGCTGATCCCAATGAGTGTCAGAAGGTTTTTTTTCGCACCAAGGTTGGGAGCGGCAAGTTGACCGTAACAGGCCGAAGTCCGTCGGTGTTCTGAAGGGACCATTGGATGTTTGGCCCAGCATAGCTGGTGGTTTTTTGGAGGTTCCTGCTGATAGTTGTGGCTCAAGAAATCTGATTGATTCTGATTGTATCTTGTATACCAATAGTATCCAGATATTGATGATTCCGTCGGGCCCCGCTGTTGATCAACCTCGATGACACTAGTTGTTTATGGGTTGAAAGCAGCAACCTGCAAGGTGTTTGGGAGTCAGAAAGCAAATTGTAGGTGTCAAAAGTATCTTCGTGCTTGAACATTTGGACATCATTTGGACATGTAGGTCACGGATTTTTTTGAGGAGCATGGACCACAATGGAGCTTGTGTGGGTGATTTGCCGGCATGAACTTGCAATCACTTCTACTCCGCAGTGTGCTGCATTGCTACATGAATTCAATAATTAAGTCCACCTGAAGCGGAAGCCTATCGCATTGACCAGTTCAAGAATGACCAATAAACTCCGGCTCGAAACCATGGCAAGATGTGCATGTAAGCTCTGACACTTCCAGTAGTTACTAGTTGCACTCGTTGTTGGTTAGCATTTCTGAACATCTTATGTTCCAAATGGTTGATTTTCCACTCCCTGATCAGGTCAATTGGGCAAAGTGATGTTGGAAAGTGTACCATTCTCAGCAGAACGGCATTGCCATGGACGTTTGACACCAGCTGGTGCTCTGCGGTCGTTCTTGTTCGACAATCTCTATATATATAATATTATATATTATACGTATGTATAATACATGTGCATAGGATTGCATATTATATTGCATCAGTATATGTGTGTAATTATATATATATATATTATACACATACAAGTCACGAAACACGTGTGAGGATGTGTGAGGTATATGATTATATATATATATAAACACACATATGTATATGTATATGTATGCACTGTATTTATCAACACATGTCATCTTGTTGGAGACGTGCCCCAGTTCTGGCCCAGAGTTGCGGTGCAGAGTCATCCTCCCCACCGACTTTCAATGCCAATGATGGTTGCTGGAACCAAGCGACAAGTTACACGTTCTTGTCATCCCCAAAAAGAATCAAACAGATATAAACATGAATTATCAATCTTTCAATAGGGATTTACCATTGATTTACCTGCTTATCCTTTTTTGGGAGAACTGTATTTCCCAATTTGCTTGTTGGTTGTGCTTGCCTGTCAGGTTTTGACTAACGATCAACTTCAGGAAGACCAGATCCAGCGGTTTTCCAGCTTTTCTCTGGCAGATCCCCATTCTCTGGAAGAACCCTAATTCTATAAGAACTAATATACTATATTATAGGGAATATACATATTATAGGGAATATACATGAATATACCTTGTTCATTTCTGTTCATTTTTGGAATGCAGAAAGGAGTCTTCAGGGACCGTTCTTTCAGCCTCGGTCACCGTCACATCAGGTGGAGACGGCCTTGTCGTTGCTTCGCAGTCGCTTCGTGCGACTAAGCCAAAGCCACTTGGTGCGAAGTAAGTGGTTTACAAGCCATATATAATTGGAGATATCATGAGATATCCCATACACAACTATAGACTATAATCTCGTTTGTTCTGTTGTTTTATAATGTTTTGTATAGCACTCCCAAGTAGGGTGAACTGGTCGAAACGAACTTCTAAGTTTAGGTTTGGGCGTCCTGAATCCCAAGAATATGTTCAAGCCATTTTGTGTCATGTTCCCATGCATACGTGGGGTAAATAGGACATCTAAATAAACCCACCAGGCAAATGGCACAATATAAGGGTCCACCAGAAATGGAACCCCTACTACTTGATGGTGATGATTACTTTTCTATCCTCTTTCCGACCACTGTTCAAGCCCCTCAAGTCATTCAAGGGAACTCCTGATGCATTATTGTGCAACGGTGATCTAGATTGTTGCTGTTTGTCATCTTGTTCGATGTTGCTTCGGCATTTTGACCGAATATTCCAAGGTATGCCATTCTAATCACTGAGGAAATTCCTGGGAGAATCATCGTCCAAGTAGTCCGAAACCTCGGCACAGCTGCCCATGTTTAGAGGTCCAGGGCCTCCACAAATCTTCAACTTTGAGACCGGGAGGCGAGATGGAGAAATACCGGGGGGCAAAAGAACCCAACGATACCTGGAAAATGCTTACCATATATATATA